AACAGGCCCTTCAGCCCAACAAGTCCACACTGTCCCTCAGAGCATCCCACCAAGACCCATTCCTCATAACCCACGTAATCTACACATCCCTGAACACTATGGGCAATTTAGCATGGCCAATCCACCTAACCTGCACGTTTTGGGACTGTGGGAGGAAACCAGAGCAAACCCACGCTGACACGGGGAGAATGTGCAAACTCCACACAGACAGTCACCAGAGGGTGGAATTGAATGTGGGTCCCTGGTGCTGTGAGGCAGCAGTGCTAACCACTGAGCCACCATGCCACCCCACCATCTGCTATGGTGGAATTTGAATCCAGATCCCCAGAATATTACCTGAGTCTCTGATTTAACAGTCTAGCAATAATACCACTAGGCCATCACCTCTCCATCTGGTCAAATGAACCAATGTTCTGACGATTGCAACGTTCTGACTGTGAATGTTTTAAACAATTATATTTTTAAAAATGACAGAAATATTCACAAAAGTAGGAATTTAAGTGTTTATTATTTAAAGAAAAATATTTTAGATGGTGAGCATTTCTTTTTAATCTGAAAAGCACTTCATTTTTTAGAAAGCCTTTGGGTGTTTTGGATCAAACAAACTACTACCATGAAAAACCATAAATAAAATTATGTTAAAGTTCATTGGTTGCTGCAACTAAAGGAGAGAAAACTAAAGTTTTGCACACTCCTAGAGTCGAATATCACTGCCACATCCGAGTTAAAATCAGACCTCAAACATGATCTCGTAAATAAAAATTAAATCTTTGTAAATACTGTAGTAAAGAACAGTTCAAAGGTATTATAACATCTTGTAACAATTAAAAGCTACTTCATCACCAAAAAATAAATTGCTGTGATTTGATATCACTCTATCTGCTTGCAGGGAAGGTGATTTCCCTCAACCCTCCAGCCAAACATCTGACAAAATTCTTGATTAAAATACAAGATGGGAGGAAACATTATACAGGACTAAAGTTTAACAAAACTCCACATATTCAATGTTGGCTAGAAAACAGAGTGCATCAGTCAACTTGAAAACTAAGGCACAATTTTCCACTGACATCCAAAGTTACTATCGTGGCACTGAAACCATTTAAAATTTTAAGAACCACATTAGCCTCTGCCATTAATTACTTGGGCTAGGTTTATATTTTTAAAAGGTTAAAAATAATTGAACTCCCAGACTATACTCTGCAGCCATCTGTAGCATGTATCAGCCATTTTTGTCCCTTCCTATTCCAAGGAAGTTTATACACAGAGGTGGGAGTTTCTCTGGGAGCCTGTTGACAGTGTTTGATAGTCTATTGACCTGAACTTTGCTGTTGTAATGACCACTAAATTTTCGGCATTATCCTTAATTACTCCTCTGGAACTGACAGCAAGCCTCTAGAGTCTGTGCATGCACAGTAAAAATGGAAAATAAGAAGTTGTTGTCAACGATTTTGTGTTTTCCAGACTGCACTGTTGAAGTCCTCACTGACCACGATCACTTTATAGAGTAGAAATCACTGAACAATTGGGAACTTGTCCACCTAACATGCCCTTGAAATGGCTTAAGTGGCCTGGAGGAGATTTTGGCAATTAGAGACACTGAGAATCTACCATGAACTCTTGCTGATGCCAGTGCAAAGGCATGATGGGTGCTGCCTCACCTTATTGATTTGAGCAGAGGACTCCTTGGAGGTTGTAGAAAGTGACTATGAACAACAAGGTTTGGATCAATTTTCATGGTAGTGCTCGTAACCCTTCTCAGATTTCGCCTCAGAATGACTTCAGACTCCTTCCTGATGGAGTTCTTGGGGCTAAAGTGAGAAAAGATATGGGGAGAAAGTGAGAACAGGACACTGAGTTGGATGATTAGCCATATCATGTTGAATAGTGGGGCAGGCTCAAAGGTCCAAATGCTCTTTATAAAAAATACTTCTTTTATTTTAGAAAGGTAATGATCAAATGGAAAAACAGAAATCTAAGCTTTGTTGGAAAACATTTAGAAATGATCTGAATACTTTCAGCACAGACATGACATAAAAAGCTTTTGTCTGAAATGATTTAGTGTTTAAAGTGTCTATGCTTCTAACTGCAGAAAAAATTACATGGACACCACAGCAATAACCTTGCATAAACCCTTGAAATAATTATAACTTGTTGAACAAGATCTAAATGACAAACTAAGTTTAAAATTACTATTGAAAATCCTCTCTGGACCTAGAAAGCAAATTTTATATTTTTGCATTTCTCACTTATGATAAAAAGTTCACCCTTTTTAACATTATATTTTTCAAATTGTTTTCTTTATAGGATTTCATTTTCTACCCTAATCACATTTGTGTATTCCAATCATTTATTTCACTCTCTGTAAAACTTAATTAAAATTAAAGGATAATCAGAGCATTTTACCGTCTGATTTTCACAGTAACAATGCACTGGCAGTACCAATTGTTTACTTCATTGTAATTGACAACTTGTGTTGTCTGATTATGCCTGGAGATCCTCTTGACTTGATGCCAAATTCAAACTGAAATCAAGGGGAAATCCATATTACATCAATTGCTAAATTTTTGTGGGATGCTTCTTCATGGTGAATGCCATTGCTTCACTGCTGACCAAAAAATCCGTTTTTTTAATGTAAAATTAGCCAAGTCCAAGAACAAAGCAACATGATAGTGGAATTATTCTTTGGGATTTCCACAAAGCTGACATTTCCAGTTAAAGATTTTTTTTTAAGAAATCAACTGATCACCAACTATTCTGTTGATCCCAGCAATGGTTTGGTTGTTTCTGTTTGACAAAATATTTATTATTGCTCTTTATAAAAAATACTTCTTTTAGTTTTTATTTTAGAAAGGTAATGATCAGATGGAAAAACAGAAATCTAAGCTTTGTTGGAAAACACTTAGAAATGATCTGAATACTTTCAGCACAGACCTGATATAAAAAGCTCTTGTCTGGAATGATTTAGTGTTTAAAGTTTTATTCAATGTATCAATGATGCTTGATATAAATAGAGATATTAATATACTTTGGGTTGTAACTTCCCATAGTGGGGGCAAACTGCATGGACCGACTACATTTCTTGGGATGATGATGCATGTTTCTCTAACTGCAGTAATACATATTTATAAAATGTCTTTAACTTTGTAAAACATCCCAAATCAATTCCTAGAAGTATAATCAGAGAATAGTTTTTACAAAGGCAAAGAAGAAAATATTGGTATGAGTGACTAGAAGCTTGGTTAAAAAGTTTGGTTGAATGGTAGGTCTTAAAGGAGGATAGTGAGGTGAAGCCCTGCAAAGAGCTATAGAGGAGATTCCAGAAGTAATGTCTGTTTATACAGGTGAGGTCCAATTTCTGATGATGGGGTGAGCAATGGACATGAGGCATTCTTGGAGGGTTTTTGAGCTACAGGAGATTGAGTGAGGTTTTGATGAGATTTTAACATGGCAGCTAGCACACACCTATGGTGGTAGTGGTGGAGAATAAAAGGACAGGGTGGTGGAGTTTTGGGTGAGATGATATTCATGGAGTTAAAATACTCACTAGGAAAGCACTAGGATAATTCAGTCTCAGAGGCAGGAAAGGTGAGAATGAAGGCTTCAGCAGGTTTTTGAACACTTCAATCTTGGAAGGATTTGAAAAGAAAGAAGAAATATTTCTATATGCTCAGCACGTCAGCATTTGAATTCCCATGGAAGTTTCCAAATGTAACAGCCAGTACAAGTCGCAATGAGAAGAACTGTCCCATAGCTTAATTAGTTTTGTGTGGTATTGAATGAAGGAGGAATGGTATTGGAAGATACTGTGTTTTCTTAAACAATGGTGCCTTGGAATATTTGACGTTGAAATAAAAGATCAAACAGCACCTTGATTTAAAGTCTGATTTGGAACATGCCAGCCTTAACAGGCAAGAATTTCTCCAGTACAGCCCTGAAATACCAACCTAGTTAATGCTCCCAGATCCTGGTGTGGTGTTTGAAGGTAGTACCAGCAAAATTTTGATCTCAGGAGGTGTATTTTCCAAAAATATAACAAAGTACATAGAATGTTCATTGTAACTATGTGAATAATATACGCTGAAAATTTGGTATTTATTGGCAACCTTACAATAAACAATATTTGAATGCCATAAATGCAACAAATTACACAGGTTGAACCCTATCAAAAATAATATACGTTCAGGACCTGCCACATTTAGAATAGTCTGTTTTAGTGAAAGTAAGTTAATAATATTCACAAATGAATGACATGCTTCCAACTGCAGTTGTGGGTGAAGAGGCGTCTCTAATTTCATCAATAGCTATTTCTCACAATTCAACAGATTCGGGTCTGGTAGAAACAGAATGAAGGAAATCTCGGAAAGGGCCATAGTCCGATCATTAGCGTATTCTAATTTGCAACAAGATGAATTTTCCTTCAATCATGTATAACTTAAACACATCTTTCACAACCCGATTAAATTGCCCTGCCACAGAAGAGTGGAGATGACTCACGGGCTAATAACGGCAGCCAAGCAGTTAAACATTAAAGCTACGGCTGAATATGAAGCAGAAAGAGTGTTGTGCATGTGCATGCTACCTTTTAGAATATGACTACAGGGCAGCGAGTGCATATCCAGTATTTATCGACATATATGGCTAATCTCCATTGAACAATTCAGAAATAAGTTTGTTTTTCACTGAATAAAAATCAAACTCATTAAAATGTGAATGAGGGAAAAGCTGCTTGTAAAATGTGAGCCACTAAGAGGATTGTTACATTTCGACCCAGCGCAAGTCTTAGATTTCAGGGCAATACGGTCACTTCAAAATGAATTACTTTCTCTCAGTTAGCAGGAGTTATCAAAACCTATTACAGCATGGGTTGGGCAACTAGAACTTGACTTTTACGGCTTTGGAAAGGTTGCCAGTTTCTCCCCCAGCTTTGTATGTGACGGCTGACGACGCGGGCTCTCCTCCCACTAGAGCTGATGGTGTCTTTACTTTTAAGTTTCAGGCTTCATTACTGATCCACATCTCTAAAAGAAAGCTTCACTTCACCCGGCTCCTTCGCGAAATGTCTGTCAAATTTCTTTTCGTTATATTCGGTGGGATTGTTCTAACTTTGGTGGATAATGCAAGAATATTACCAAGAGGTAAGCAGTATGTCAATTCCAGAATAATGGTGTAAATTTGAATTGCAAAAAAAACTTTATTTAAAGCAATTGCAAACATTCTTTTCTTTCATTTTTGTTTTAATTTTGCACCCTCAATTTTCTCTCCCCCTTCTGCAACATGGTGAGGTTCCGTTCTGTTATTCATTTCTGAATCTTGATACTAAAGGTGAGCGAATGTTTTGGCTGGCGGAGACTTCATTACTAACGCATTCTGTCCTAGTTGGACTTTCCGATCCTCTCCCCAGCCGTACGTGTACAAACTGTCCCACTGGTCGTCACTGGAATGAAAACAGTGACATCCAATGGATTATTTACCTTTAACAGCCGAGGGCAACTGGGACCAATTGTAGCTCCCCTACTGTAGCCACCGTGGAGGTCAACTAAGCACAGTCTGTCAACCCAACCTGGGGTGCTGCCAATCGGTGTTGGTTCACTTGTTGATCAACTGGGGGAGCTCTTTTGTCTCGATTAAAAAAAACTGAACAAAATGCCTCTATGCTCTGTTCTTGAAAGACTATTTTGTCAAGTAGTATTACTTAAAATTTATTTTAAAATGTGTTGCAAACAGACCGAAGTCAATAGCTTAAATTGCAACTCAGCACAAGGCAATTTCAGGTGAGGCTATGACAACAGCATTCCACTTCAAATTGTCCAGGAGCTGGTTCGATTCCAGCCTTGGGTGACTGTCTGTGTGGAGTTTGCATGTTCTGCCCGTGTCTGCATGGGTTTCCTGCTGGTGCTCCGGTTTCCTCCCGCAGTCCAAAGACATGCAAGTTAGGTGGATTGGCCACGCTAAATTGTCAGTAGTGTCCAGGGATGTGAAGGCTAAATGGGTTAATGGTGGTAAATGTAGGGTTATGGGAATAGGGTGAGAGTCTGGGTCTCGGTGGGATGCTGTTCAGAGGGTTGTGCAGACTTGATGGACTGAATGGCCTATTTCCGCACTGTAGGGATTGTATGATTCTATGGTCTCTTAACTGCCTTGCTCACTGCACCCCAACTGCTTCACACAGTAATGTTTTACAGAAATTCAGAATGCTTGGACCCTGAAAATTATTAAAATTAGCATTTACATTGATTAAATGGTTCAACAGTTTGAATATTGGACTGTTATAAAACTGAATTAAAGCCAAATTATTAAAGTTTACATTATCTTAATCAAGTATCAGACAGAGTTCTGTTTTAATTTTGGAAGAGATATTATGAAGGTAGGTCTTATGGAAGTGAAGCACAACAATGATGTGGAATGCACACTTCAACTGACATCGACTGTCAACATTGACAATCCTAGGTCAGGGATAATAAGGTGTAGAATGGAACTCAATATCTTACATCAGATCCAGTCTTTCAATCGTGAATGATCTTGACAATTTGCCAACTAATATCAATTCATAGACAATATTATGTTGTGGACACACACCGTTAGATTCAGATTGCCAACAATGGGTTAGATTCATGGCATCTTGCAGTCAACAGAGGTATAATATTTTTATTTTATTCCGCCTGGGCTGCATTCAGATCAGAAAATAAGTTGCTAAGTCATTCTGCATCTAGTCTTCAAGTATTTGCTAATGGACGGATTATTAATTTCAATCATAAATTCCGGTCTGTTTAAAATATTTTACCTGCATGTGTTGGTCTTTCCATCTATGTAAAATGATGGACATGCATCAAATCAAGTCTGTTGGAGCAGAGTGGCTTCATACAGTGCACTTTTACTGATGGCTAACAGTTGAGGAGACTAATCTGTAAGGGGCGGGTTTGGTTGCTATTACTTGCACATAGCTGCACTTAACTGAAAATTGATGTTTAGGCCTCCCAGCACTAATAGTGCTGTGGATAAGTATCCAGATTTAACACTGTAACGCTCTAATGCAACTAATGCAGCTAGAAGATGCATCATACAGTGTGCCAACTCACATCTTTGCAATTCTAAATAATAACTTTCATGTTATAGCCATATCTTTATCAATTCAACAAAGTTTAAATCTTGTATTGGAAGTGTTTCTATTAGATTAATAGAAATAATAGTTCAATTCATAAATGTGAGTTTTTCCCTCATATACCATCTGAATTCTGTAAGAAACCATGGCACGTTTTAGATGGTCCTTCATCAGAATTGAATGCCTGGATATCTTCCAGCTTGACAAAAGGGAAAAACTGAAAGATTAAATCATTTTCTTTGCTTTACAGTAGCTGCCTGACTTGCTGAACATTTCTAACATTACCAACTTTTTTTCTGGTATCCAGTGATTTCTTTATTTTTGATAAATTCATCAAGTATGTAACTCCAATGGGAACCATGCTCAAAAAGAGCACTGGTTGGACAGTTGGTGCTACATTTCCATGGCCGTGCTTTGAAGCTGTGCTGTCTTAGAATGTGCCTTCCTGTTGTGAGTTAAGGATTGCTTGATCTACCCTGTTGCAGTGTTACTCAAGAGAAGTTGCTGACCAGTCACAAATTGTGGCTACACCGACACTGTTTTAGCCTTGTACGATAGTATTCGTTGAAAAAAAATTAAGTTCATTCACTTCAGATCCAGCAGACAAACCCAGAGAATGTATTTTACAAATGCATGTGTACTTAACAAACATTCAATTAATATTCAATGTTCAAGCAAATAAAGTATTCATTGAACAAACATTATTCACAGACTTTTCTCTTTATTTTACCATTTTACTTTCAGAAAAGTTAAAAAACATCTGTGTGTGCTGTACGAGTATGAGGATCAAGTGCACATGCCCTATAAAAGTGTTGGTTATTCATCAATCAGAAATTGAATTGGCCACATTTGGATTGTCTAGCATGGGCACAATAGTAGTCCAGAGAGAAGGACCCTTGTGGTGCAGGGGTAAAGTCCCTACCTCTGAGCTAGGAGGTCTGAGTTCAAATCAGATCTGCTCCAATGGTGTAATAACATCTCTTAACAAAGTGATTAGAAAATATCTCTAGCAGTCCAGTGATTAGAGTTCTTGTGGTGTAGTTGTAGAGGCCCTACCTCTGGGTTCAAGTACCACCTATCCATGCCTGAACAGGTTGATTAACAATATCTAGAGATCCAGAGAGGTAACAGCTGAGACATTTTAAGCAAAATTTTGTAAATAAATCTGAAACTTTAGCATATATTCATAGAATTCCTGCAATGCAGAAACAGGCCAATCAGCCCAACAGAGATAACAAGGTGTAGAGCTGGATGAACACAGCAGGCCAAGCAGCATCAGAGGAGCAGGAAGGCTGACGTTTCGGGCCTAGACCCTTCTTCTAGACCCTCTCAATCAGCCCAACAAATCCACACCAACCCTTCAACCAGCATCTCACCCAGACCCTTCCCTGTAACCTTGCATTTCCCATATTTAATCCACCTAACTTACACACCCCTGGACATTACAGGCAATTTAGCATGGCCAAACTACCTAACCTGCACATTTTTGGACTGCTGGAGGAAACCTGGATGCAGAGAGAATGTGCAAACTCCACACAGACAGTCACCTGAGGGTGGAATTGAACCCAGGTCCCTAGCACTGTGAGGCAGCAGTGCTAACCACTGAGCCACATTGCCACCAAAAGTGAGGGAGCCTGTTGTCTCTGTGTGGTTATGAGCCACCAACCTTTTGGTTAACAGCCAAACACACTAACCAGTTGCACCACAGAGACAATTGCAATGACCTTGAAACTATAGATCATTGTAGAAATCCTGATGCATTAATGCCCTTTAGAGAATAAAATTTGCTCTTCTTACTTGGTCTGAACCATATGTGACCTAGGCCCACAGCAACGTGGTTAACTCTTGACTGCCCTTTGAAATGCCTTTGCAAAATCACATACTTGTGTTCAAGAAAACAGTAGGTCACTGTTGTTGTTTAAAGGGATGGTAAATGGTGGTCTTGCAAGTGACTGCCCTATCCTGTGGAAATCTCAATAACATGTCACCAGTGGAGAGCACATTTGACAACATTGCCCTATAGATTCTTCCATTACCTTTCAAACCGCTATTGAGAATACACAATTTAAGATTAAATTGTTTGTAATGGAAAACTTTTCATTTTTTCCATGCATCAAACTGATAGTAATTACTAAGTAACCAGTAATAGTGATAATTAAGTGAAATATTGTCATGGCAATTAGAAATCACAGTGTAAACATTCCCTATATCAACTGTTTATCTTTAATAATCTTTGCATAATATTCACAGGGAGATTACATTACTTGAAAAAAATCATGAAAATGGACAAGCCAAGTAAGAGTTAATTTGAATGACAGTGTACAATGCTACATAATTATCTGTGTCTGAAGTTCTGCCAGGAGTCATGTAGAAATATTCATGATGATTCCCAAGAATTCTGTCACATGCTATAAAAAGCATCATGACGCAAGTGCTGTTTAGGGTCCTTTCAGCCTGGGCAAGAACTGCTATAATATCCTATTGTTAAGAAAACCTGTATATTTAGAGCTGGTGCATACTTTATTGCAATGCTGCATACTATAATATTCTACATTCCAAAATCATTCATGTCTCCCCGAGAGGAAAATTTTTTGATGCCTCAACTGAAAGATGGCACTTTAAAGTGTGTGTCACATTATGTTAGTTATATCAAAAAGCATACACTGAGGATAATGAAAGCTGGATGCTGCTGATATTTATCAACTACTTTATCTTTTTTTTTTGTTCACTATGTCATCGATGATGCTAGAGAAAACACTTGCATTTATATAGCACGTTTTACAACGTCAAAACCTCCAAAGTGCTTTATGATCAACTAAATGGAGTCACTGCTGTAATGTAGGAAAGATGCCAGCCAATTTTAAACATAAAAAGCCCAGAAGTAGAAATAAAATATTAGCCAATTTTTTTTTTGAGTGGTGTTGGTTGGAGGATAAGTATTGGCCAAACCACTGGCGAAAATCTTCTTTATCGTAGAATAATCCCAAGGGATATTTCATGATCACCTGAGGACAGAGGGGGCCTCAGAGCCTTTGT